TAGTTTCCTTAAATTTTTCATGAAACATATTTTCATGATGTATTTATTTGAACTCATAAATGTTACTATATTTTTATAAAAACTTGGTCAAATTAAATATTTCTCCATCTCAAAATATTTGACGTTTTAGGTTTGGGCATGGAAATTTAGAAGAAGTAAAAAAGGTGTGGTGCACATAAAACAAGAAAGAGAGCGACAGAGAGAGATAGAGATAGAGATAAAGATGTACTCCCTTTGTCCTTTTTAAGTGTAGTTTGACTAGATTTATAGAAAATACTAGTAACATTCAAATCTCTAAACAAGTGTATTATAAAAATATATGTAATGATTAATATAATGATACTTTTCATGCATCATAAATATTAGTAATATCTCTTGTATATATCTGGTCAAAGTTTGGTATATTTGACTTATTGATATATGAGAACAACAGTTAAAAAGGGACGGAGGGAGTATGAGGAAAAGAAGAGAAAGATGCATTGGGAAGTGAGAATAACAGTTATTTTGGGGCAAATTTAACTTGAAATCATATAACATCAACTACTTTAGGATGAGGGGATAAGTTTTACTTAAGACAAAATGAGCATGAACTATAATCAGAACGAAGGGAGTAATATACAATTTCAACAATAACATAACTATTTTTGCCATGGAGTTATTTTATAGAATCTCATTACAACAACACGCATATATGTACTGCTATGTTTTATTTTTTATTATAACAATCATGAGAAATTCTATCAAAAAACAATTGTTTAAAGATTCAGGGATCAATATATATATGTTTCAAAGAAGTCTAGCTAAATTCACATATCTAAGGTCGTGTTTTTTTTTAGAGGATATCTAAGGTCGAGTTTGGTAGAGCAGAAGAAACGTTTCTCGGAAAAGTCATACAAATATAAAAGCAAAAGCACAGTCAAAAAAGCTGATTTGATCTAGCTTTTGTGGTTTAGTACAAATGAGTAGTAAAGTCATACAAATATAAAAGCAAAAGCACGGTCAAAATAAGCTGATCTGATCTAGCTTTTGTGGTTCAGTACAAATGAGTAGTGAAAAAATATACCATTTGTATTTTAGTTTCAGGTTAGTTTTGCTAGAAGCAATTTATAAGTTGTAGCATACATACCCTAAAGGCCTTGTTGCATTATCTGCTTTTAAAGGAGGTTGGGGTGAAGTTTGAGAAACGCTACGAGCTAGCATAACCGCCTGACCGGTTTGCTGGCCGCGACACGCCATGTCGTCACGTTAAAGCGTGCTGCTGGGCTGCTGGCCACGGGTAGAAGAAGGCCGGGCCCAGCGTCAGCCTCTGCTCCGGTCCTGACGAAAGCAAACTCATGGCCGTCAGGGAACCGCTGCTGTGCGAGTGCGACAAGGGCAAAAGGCGCTTGTTGCGTGCGCAGCAGGCTAGCCGCCGCGAGCTCTCTGTTAGGCTACCGAAGTACCGAACCGCGTGGCCACGCCGTTACGGCGCGGCGTCACCTCGGCCACGGCACTGTAACAGAATAACGGCATGGCTATGATGATGATGAGATCACATCGTCGGTGCTTGGTGGCCAGCCGAACAGCCACTCCACTCGTAGCCTCTTGCGTATACTCGTACGTACACATGCTTCCACACGTCCAACCCATTACTACCCATGCATTACTAGCAGTCTAGCACGTATACCACCTTTAATAGGTCGTTTCATACTTGCCAATAATGCATGCAGCCGTATGGTATTATTATCGGTTATCAGGCTTCGTTCAATTTGTTAGGATACTACTGGATCCAGAGTATTTGTCCATTGTCACACGTCCTGTTAAGCTTAGTAGTAGACCAATGCCATTTCTTGACATTTTTTTTTAAAATATCCCATTTCTCCACTTTGAACTGTAATATTCGTTTCGGTTCGAAAGATAGGCGACCAGGATAGCTGCCTCGAAGGCATGCTGTCGAGCAGGCCGAACCAAACACGCCTACAGTGCCACCATGTTGGCTCCGTCTATAGATTCTTTTGTAGACCTTTTCCTATATTATAGTAATAGTAATAATATATATAATGCATAAATTTAGTTTCGCCGCATCATCGTCATGGGTTTTTAATGATAATACAAAAATACAAAAGTGTTGTTATTACCGTTCACTTCTTGCCTCTACTTGGTCACCACCCTTATTTAGGATCTATTTGGTTCATAACCTTGCAACAAGTAGCTTGCACCCTTAAGCGCTCAAAATGGATAAGCTGTGGCCTGGCCAGACAACCAACCTTGCTTGGGCAAGGAACAAAACAGCCACTAATTTGTCCTGAAAACCTAACTTCATCGTTGCTGCCACAACCTTTTCTGTGGCACCATGAACCATCTCCTAACCTTCCAGCAAAGAGCTATCGTAAAATTGACAGCCTCACATGTGTGACATTACAAGTTCGAGGTGCACTCTTTGATTGCATCAGTATGTCCACACAGAAGGCACTCTTGCTGACATCCGAGATGATAAGTACCATTGACACATCACTCTCCACGGATTCCTAGCGTGTCGACACACAGCACCGGGGGCTACAATACAAGTGGTGCTGCACTGCTGCAGTAAGCAGCCGCAATAACACAAGATGACGAGCCAGTTGATGCGGATTAACAACACCGGAATCCTACTACATGAACCTAAGGCAAACGTCAAGGGAATCCTGCAGTATGCATGTGTGTGTGTGTGCTAGTCACCATCCAACGGCATATTTCCACTTTTTCTCAGCGAGCTGAATCTGCGTGCACATACATGAGCGTCAGTCATCCTTCCACAGTGACGTGTCGACGTCGCATTGGTCGATACCGGGGATCAAATGGTGGGCAAAACTGTCCATCCCCACAGTTTACATCCTTACCCAGCAGGCAGCAGCCTCCAGTCCACCCTGTGGGCTTCAGATTCTGTGCTGCTCGATCTGCTTGGATTTGTGCCTGTGCAGTGCAGTGACCACCTGTGCTCAGGTAGTGAGAGCAACCCAAAGTCAGGGCAGAGGAGGAACCTGAGGGATTCGTCGGCTGCCCTTGGTGAGCTTCCTGGTGAATTCTTGACGATGATGGCGAGCATCTGATGCTTCACAAGATACCAGCATCAACAGTCCCATAATTTGGCAGCACAGGACACACTGATTCAGAGTTCCAGCTCTTGATCGGTCATTGGTATTTTCTGGGGGTAAAATAACAGAAATATCTACAGAATAAGCAGACTTCGGATGCTGGGAAAGGGAATGGATGATCTCGCGTTGCAGTTGCAGCACATGTTGCAGAAGGGCTGCTTATTCAGCCAGTGAGCGAGAAAGAGAGATCCATCATCCATCCATTATAAAACACCATATGCCATCATCCTGATCCCCTTTGGTAACTGAAGATTGGCACGATGCAAAAGGAGATCACTGCAGAAATAAGTGCTGATATGCAGCTCTTTCTTGTGACTGACTGGATCACACGGTCAAGCCAACGAACCTGGTTGCAGGAACAAGAACAATGCATGAAAGCTACCACAAGCCTGTTCCATGATACATCAGCCCTAACCCTAGCAGCCCTTGTGCTGAGCTGCTCTGCGCTGCTGGGATAAGCAACTTTCCCCAGGCACCAAGAGAAGAGAGCAGAAATTTATTTTATCCATGCCAATGCCATTGTGACGTCCCTTTCTGTGTGCTGCTTTCAACTGCTGCTAGTGACACCAGCACTGCCAGAGCAGGAATAAATAAACAATGCTGAAACCAGAACAAAATCTTTATTCGATCTGAAGCTGTAGGCTGTAGGATCATCTGCCAGAAAAAAAAGGGATACCGCGATTATGGAACTACGCTTCAGGCTTGCCCATGAAGAGAGCAAGATTTGATGCAAATCTACTGTCACCAATAGGAAAGAATAAATAACACCGGGCTCAGTGCATGTCCCATTCAGAAAAGCAGAGTGTTTATTTGGGTGATGGCTGCTTAACATAATGATCTGGGAGAAATCATCTAGCATTTATTATTCTTGTTGTGGAGCCTCAATATAAGCCTTTCCAGTTCTCCTTGCTATTTTTTTTCCCAATTGCTTCTTTCACTGACCAACTTAGAGTTTTACGGCGGGAATATCTTATATGAGATGTTTGAATCTCTTAAACTTTTAATTATAGAGAAATCTCTAGAGATGATGCAGTCATAATAGCTGCAAATATACTTCAGTGGTCAGCACATTAGTGAATGCCAACTGGTATCTTTTTTGTGTGCATATATAGCATTATGCGGAGAATGTGGCAGTACAATTTTTTAGAATGAAAAATTAAAGAATTTCTAATGGTGGTGAATCTATCATGAAATTTTGTGTCCAGAAACATTGTAGCTGGCTTTAAAGCCATTGTTCACAGCTGAGCTAGCAGAGCATGAACAATTTATCACTGGATTTGCCTAACAGTTAGAAGAAGATACCATATAGTAGAAATACAACAATTGAACACAGTATATACACTTAGAAGTTAGAAGAAGATACTATGAGAAGGATAATAACCACCAGTGTTTCTACATGATAGAAAATATCAAACCTCTAAATCTTTGAGCATAGATTATTAGAATAATTTGTATCGAAAAGATGGCAGGTTTGATCCGTAAATGTTGCAGCAATACATATACATTTATAGCTGTATCACACCTTTGCTTCTCCATCACATCATCATAAAACCGATGTTGCTCATCAATTATGATACAGATGGAAGACTAACTGCTAAAGGATAAGAACCTCCATAACAATTATATACAGGAATATGTCTCGTAAACAAATGAGGATCCTAAAGTTTAGAGTCAGCTCTTGATCTTACTGGTGGGGTTAGGTCAGATTCAGGATGCTCTCCAAAATAGAGCTCTGTCTCTGTCTCCCAGTAGTAAAGATAAAATGGTCGACAAGACAGGATACACTATATTTATTACGCATTGATTTACAAGAAACGGACTGATAGGTGATTTCACAAAACTTTCCTAATCTACTGATTACCTTTCTACTTTACAACAATTGGTTAGTCATTGAGACATTAAATACCGCTGCAGGCATTCTTTTATATTCTGAAAGTTCACAGGCTTAGATATGTAGGAATCCATGCCTGCAGCAAGGCATTCCTCGGCACTCTCTGCGAATGAATTTGCTGTCATCTGCAATGCATAAGGAGATTTCACATGGTTATACAATGTCAAAAAATAACCTAGGGTTGGAAGAATACAATTTCATCTGACATGAGGATTCTATTTACATTTGATCAAGAAAATACCAAGGAGCAAAATACATCAGAGATTTTCTAGCGTGGGACAGATGAGAGGATTTTTTTTAACCCCAGCCTGAAATTCACTCCCACGGTGTGGACCTGAGGAGTGCTACTAGAGCCACCTAATCAACTCAGATAGAGGTCCATTTGCCATCACACTAATTAACAAAACCTTTTCTGCATGGCATGCAACCATGACACCCTATATGGAGTATACTGGAGCACAAGATAACAGCGTCCAGAATGTCAAATATGTAATTACTTCCTGATAAGGGTGATCTGGACCTCAAGTGACACAATTAGAGTTGAGGGACCTACATGAGCATTTTAAGAGTATAGGTACCTAAATGACACACGGAACAAGTTTAAGGACCGCCAATGCATTTTACTCGACTGAAAAATATATGAAGTAGAATGCAAGTAAAGCTGACAAAGATATCTTAGTTGATATGAGTTCAGAATTTAGTGTAACTGTAAACTTACCGCAATTATAGGAACCCTCTGCCCTTGCTTTTTTGCATGTGCACAATCTGATGAAATAGTTGAGTCGGTTATCATCCGATTGTCTTCAGGCTTTACAGAAACGTCCCAACAGCCAGTATTCTCAAAAGAACGGATATGTTTAGTTGCTTGTAGGCCATCCATTTCTGGCATGTGAACATCCTGTAAAGTAGAAACCAATAGCATTTTAATTAGAGGAATGGAAGCAAAATGTTTGTAATATATTATAAACATTTTCACTTGGTTTGTGAATCTATCCTGGAATACCAATATTGATATCACACCATGAGGTGCTGTAATGATTTAACATTGTTTTTGTCAAGGTAATCATGGACTACCAAGCCAACACTTGTACTGGTTCACTGGTATGATGGGAAAGTAACCATTGCGAACAGCAAGGATAATCCATGAACCTTAGAAGAAATCTGAACAAGTGCCTTAAACAATTATACAGGGTGTGCCAAGCCAATCAGTCATTAATATAACCCTTGCCTATAGTTAAACTCATCAATGTGTATCATTAATAATCTAAAAAATTATTCCCTCCGTTCCAAATTATAAAACGTTTTGACTTTCTTAGATACATTGCTTTTACTATGTATCTAGATATAATGTATATCTAAGTGCATAGCAAAAGCTATATATTAAGAAAAGCCAAAACGCCTTATAATTTGGAATAGGAGTACAAAGTTTTTCTTTGTTTTCTTATTTAAAAAGAATTAATACTTGACACACTCTGCATGAAATCAGCCGTTTGGTCACAAATTTGATGCAGGATTAGCATCCTCAGGGTATTACTTCTGCATCTTATAAGATATTGAGGTGAGGCAATTGCGAACTAAGTGACACTACAGAAGGATGAGTTGATGAAGTAAACATAAATAATCAGAAGTAATAATAACTAATAAGCATGTAACACTTATACTTTCATGATTGAAAACAGTTCTAGCCATACCATCAGAATAAGATCATATTGATGCTGCTGTACCGCACGGATTGCTTGCATCCCATTATTTACGATATCTATTGCATGGCCCAGCTGCTCCAGCATTGATTTTGCCACTATTATGTTGACCTTGTTATCTTCAACTAGGAGGATCTTTGCTTTGTTGCTGGTTGGAGAACACTTTGATTTCTTGTGGTGTGACTGTTCTTCAAGAACTTTGCATGGAGCAGCACCTGAAACGGATAGCAAGTCTCCTCGGGAACTGGAAACCCGTTCAGCTTGACTATTCAGTTCAAGGACCATTGCATTATCATGTTCTTCTTCAGCTGTGCTCCTAACATTAGCACCATTCGGTTGGAGAGCAGTAGAGGTATTTGTAAAATTATGTTCCGTTGATGAGAAACCATTTGAGGACAATTTGCGGTCATCTGATATGTCAGGCGGATCATAACACATAAGCTTGGCACCAAATAACTTTGTGTTGTTCATTATTGAAACTCCAGGAGACAGAAGAGAAGCTCGCATTTGTGGCTTGAAAAAGAAAGAACCTTCTATATCACTGTTTGCAGAATCATTCCGAGAACTGTGCACTTCATCAGGATCATCACTATGCTCCTCTTTTACAGGGATTTTACAAGGCAGCACAAATGTAAATGTTGATCCTTCATTCTCTTTGCTGACCACAATCAGAGTACCACCCATCAACTCCACCTAAATCATTATAAAAACACACACTTTTATCAGTTACCATGGGGCTGCTTCAAGTTACAAGTTACAACCTACAACTAAAGTTACAGGTGTTACTGTTGTATTTCTAGTTATCTGTGTTCCATGTATGCATAAGTACTATCATTTATCTGAGTTCCATGTATGCATAACTATTCTCAGACAGAAAAATGTATGCATAATTGTTCACATTAAAAAAAATAAAACGACCACCATTATACAATATTGTGTCCTTTAACTGCATCAATGCATGGGAACTGAAGTTCATACCAACTGCTTGCAGATTGCCAGGCCAAGCCCTGTCCCACCATACTTCCTCGCATGATCGGTGCTAGCTTGCATATACCTCTTGAACAGCAATGGTAAGGACTTCTCTGCAGGTGTCCAGATGTTGAAATAATCAGAAACAAAGCCAAACATGTAGCAAGCATTATATAAAGTTTCTCCATCAAGTGATATATGGAGAAGATGATTATGCAAAAGAAAATAGAAAAATGTCAGGGAAAACCTGGTATTCCTATTCCAGTGTCATATACATCACAGCGAAGCCAAACGACTTCCTCTCCCTCAATATCCTCCTTGAAATTTTCACATGTTGGAACACCATTCTGAAAAGCATCTTCATGTTTCGAGCAATGCAAATTATCTTTATCACAGTTTCTTGGAGAGACAGCAGCAGTTTCTGCAGCAGTAATTGCTGTCCCAGAATACGCTCGCTTATGAATTTTCCCGCCCTCTATTTTGCATCCTGGTTGCTTGTCATGCACGACCTGAAGATTTATTCCAACTTTCCCTTCATGTGTAAACTTGACTGCATTGCTGCAATGATTTAAAATACCGAATAATGTCAGACTACAGTACACATGTTTCCATTCTATACAGGTAAATGAGTTTCATCAACCCTTTTGAGTACCCGACTGTATGAAGTTCATACCTGATCAAGTTGGTCAGAATTTGCCGAATCCTTAGCACATCACCAATAACCTACACCAATACATTAGAAAACAAATTATGAGTGAATGTATCGTTTTGCATCCAGCTGGATACCTATATTCCCAAAGGTATCTCCTCCTAAAAAAATACTTGAATTTGTAAACAGGCGCATCATTTTCCTACTAAAGGCAATCTGTAGATACGTGAAATTAGAAAACCTCAAGAGTATAGACAAGAAGCATGCCAAGGATAGGTAATTCTCTTTACCTCCACTGGAACATCATCACCTATGCACCCTTCAAGGGTCAATTCCTTCTTTAGAGAAGCCGCGGCAGTTTGGAGTACATGTTTAACTACTTCCCTTGGTCTAAATGTCGTAGATTCTAGTTTCATGGCCCCTGAAATGATGAAGGCATAAACAAACAATTTAATTTAGGGGACGAAATAACATAACTAATCAAATAATTAGTGCAGCACCAAACTAGTTTGAAACAAGTATTGAACCACCTTAGTCCTATGAAATCATTATTGACTTATTTGCAATGCATAACATGCGAAATGACATTCAATTCATATTTGTATGTCTCTGCAGCAAGTTCTTAATTACAGAAACTTCTACAAACCACTTGAAACCAAGAAATTATAAATGGCTCAAATCGCAGAGATCAAGAAATACCTGACTCCACTTTGGAAAGATCAAGGATGTCATTGATCAGCTGCAATACAAGATCTCCAGAGGATAACATAACTTCAAGCAACTGATGCTGTTCTTTATCCAGTTTGGTAGTTGCAAGAATTTCGGCCATGCTAAGAACACCTGAAAGAGGAGATCTGATCTCATGGGACATGGTAGCTAGCATTTGTTTTGCTCGCATTGTTTCCTCTGAAATGTGAAATAAGGTAAAGTAAGTGTTCCGAATACCAGTCTAGCATAAGTGCATCAAAATAGTATTGTAACAAGATGCAGACCTGTTATGTGAAGAGATTTGCTAAGTTCAGTTTCCTTGGCATTTTGGACAGCTTCCCTCACCCTTATGTCTGCCATTTTCTCTCTTCTTTTGACCTAATGTGCAAAGAAAGATTAATTGCAGTTCAAAAGCATGAAATGAAATGCAGAACACCATTCAGTGTGTTGAGACAGTTTTTCCGTCCAGGAGATAACATGAGAAAAAAACCCTCAGAAAATAGTTTGTACGATCATCTCAAGGCATCAATATTAAAAATCAAAACCGTTAATATATCCTTGCAGTATAGCAACTAAAAGCTTACTCTTGGTCGCTTGTGCTAGTTACAAGCCAATAAAAATATACTACATCTTGAACGTTTAGGAAATAGCATGTCCCCTTTTTGGTGGTAGTGAAATTTTAGCGTGCAGTCCTAGGTACGATATTATCCATCCACTGGGAGAGTCACAGGCATTGTAGTACCATATTTACCAAGGAAGATAAGTGTACTAGTGCATACTAAAACAAAGAGAAACAAAGAATAATACAACTAGTACCAATATAGAACCCCCGCAATGATAATATCAGAATTTTCAACATCCAGAAGCAAAGGGAATCAAAGGTACATCATAAGAGAATTCAAATTCATAAAGGTACCTGATCTGTTATGTCCATTGCAACATAATTCACGCCAATCGTTTCCCCACCTTTGCTGAAAACTGGCTCAATGTATGTCACAAATGTCTTTGCCCCAAACATTGGTGTATTAAACGCAAATTCTCTTTTAGTTGCTATTCCCGTGGCCATAACTTCTCGCTTGACACTGTTCATCTCTTCTATACCCTCACCTGACAATATCTCATAGTCTGTCTTACCAATAACATCCTGATAAAAATGATATGCTTCAGACAAAGTTGCAACTTATTGAAAGTACTAGAACATCAAAGTCTCAAGTAGTGCTTGTTTATTGCCAATGTTCAGAGCCATTGCATACTCTAATCATACAGCAACACGCAATGTAAAGGCGTCAAGATTACCTCATCAGCAAGTGTTGGATAGTGGTTAAATATGAAACGGTACCGTAAATCAGCATCCTGAAAAGAACAATATATGGGTTATCTATACCCTATTATAAAAGTTTGTGTTCAATGTTCTATGCCATGCCCTATTTGAAAAAGCATCTCAGAACGTACCTGATGAGCAATAACAATAGGAGCACTTTGTAGAACCAAGTGCAAGAAGTAATCGGCGCGTTTTAGCATTCCAGAGAATTCCTCAGCTGGTGTGTGTGACTGCAGATTCTTAATATTTTCCTCCAATTTTTCAACTAAAGAACGCTCCCTTTGGATGCTTTCCTCAAGTTTTTCCTCTAACTTAGTTGCCCGCTCTTTCCAGTAGGAAACACTGTCATAATCTGCATCTATTTTAGTCTCTCTACTACGAGAAAGATCGTCATTCTTTTTGCTAGGTCGCTTCCATTCATCTTCATAAACTTCATCCAGTATCGGTACATGCCGCTTTACAGCATAATAACTCTCATCCTGAAAACGTTGCTCCTCCAAGATTTGTTGCTTATTTTGCTCAATCTCTTTCCTTTGTTGGCAGAGAAGACCAAGCTCTTCCTCCAGAAGCCGAGCAGCATTGGCTCTCTTATATTCCCAGTGCTTCATAAAGTATTGCATCTGAGAAACACCTTTCTCAGAATTTGCCATTTCCATAAGCCGCTGAAAATCCACATGAACAGGCTTTTCATCAAACTTCACATCCTTGAAAGCATCTTGGTCCTTCCTAAAGTTTTCCATTCTGAACTGCCTCTGGTGTTTGTCTCCTATATTCTCAGGCCACATTGATTGTGTAACCTCATCCTCAAGTTCAGCTAGGTAATCGTCCCCCATCTTTCTCGATAATCAGCACGGTTTTCTGTTCACGTCGAAATTTTACTCACACATCAGTTGACTGTTGAACCCAACAGATGATGTTGCTGACTATAGCTGATAACATTAATCCATGACTTAAACTTCTATGCTCCTTGTTCTCTGAGAATGATATAACCAGTAGCATAACAGTTCCACTGAATAACCAATGAGAGAGCGAGAATCAGAAGCTGCTCCTTATCTGCGTATACATCCCATTTGCAGCTCAGTACCAAATTAAACAAAAGGATGGTATCCTCATGGAGGAGTCAAATAAAAGAATATATACATGATAATAGATAAAGAGATTGAGAAATTTTCCAATGAAAATAAAATGATTACAGGAACTGAAAGGCTAAATAGGGAGCAGACTATGACTAATAGAAATTTAGAAAGCATCAAACGAACACATATATGGAACATCTCAACTTAAAGGCTGACCGTTGCTCAAGAAAACACTTAACAGTGCGGTACCAAAAGCTGACACGAAGTTCAGCTTTTAACAGAATTCCAAGCCATAAAGATGGAACCTTCCATTTCCTCAAGGCATGCTGGAGATCATCTTTGGATCAAGGGAAGAATCAGTAAAAAAAAAGTGCACAACCGAATCTAAGATTCTGGGGGTGCTCCAGCTGTGGAAAAAAAATCAAACGCGACTGAATAACTGAACTAAACGATGAGTCGCTAACACGGAGATGCAAACCTGAGAAAACTAACTTAACCAACTAAACTGAACCCTCCAGGAGATCACACCAGAGTCGTTACGGATCAACTACGCGGCATACAGCTCATAAAGTCAAACACTCAAGCTTAACGGCAACCAAGAAAGCAACGGGACGCGCAACCGCAAAGCATACGTCGGAGACCTGATCCCAGTAGGATCCCTGCTCTGTCGCGCTAGGCGCACTACCCATTCGACGAAATGCCGAAAAAACTTCAAGTGATCCTAGAGCGCTCGAGATCAAATCTCTCACCGCGCGACGGCCCAGCAAAGTTGGTACGACGAAAAAAGCAACTAAAAAAAAACAACCAAAACGGAACAGCTAGACTGGACAGCACTACGCCCGCCACCCATCCGACAAAATGCCTGGCCGTCCGGCCGGCCGGCACTCCCGATCACTAAACCTCGCGACACGCAAGCAAGGATCGCCCACCTGGAAGAACAAGGCGCAGCTCGGAGAGACGCCGTCCCACGGCGAGTCGTCACGGCCTCGACGACGGACGGGTTGAGCTCCACGCGAGCAGAGGCGCAGGAAGCAGGTGCGGGGTCAATGCGACGGGGAGCAGAGCAGGAGCAGAGGCGAGGGTCGGAGGAAGAGGGTGGAGTTTGCAGAGGAGGATCTAGTGGCCATGAGCGGGGCGGGGCGCAGCGGCCATGTGACGAGGGGGGGGGGGAATCGCGCCCGCGGGGCGGAGGGGCCATGTGCGCAGCGAAAAGAATTGCGCAACTGGCGTCGCCCTCCGCGCGACTTGTTTAGCCATCCGCCCTCGTGGCTGATTTCTTTTCTTCGTTTTCTCGCCGGCCGATCTAGCCGCCGTCCCCCGGTGGTGGTGGTGGGCCGCCGTGAGAAGCGACTAGGGGAGGGTGTTAAAAAACGCGGCGGGGGAAGCGGGCGTGAAATTTTTGTATTTTGGTCTCTTTTTAAAATATTTTTTATAAAAAGACTCATGTCAAAACTTTTGCTACAAATAGACCATTTTTAAGCGTCTTAGAAAATCACGTCGAGATATGAAGGTCGGCGTCGACTGACACGACGCTGAGTCCTTGCCACGTCACCGACGACTCCGAGGTTGACGCATGGGGCCCAGTACGTCGACGTCGTGTCAGCCAACGCCACAGGCCTAAATTCGGCGCTGTGGGGAGTCACGCCGAGCTCTTGACACCATCCGGCGCGTGGCCCAGGCGGCCCAACAACGCTTCGTGAGCCAAGAGGTTGGCATGCGATCAGATGACGTCGAGACGCTAACCTTGGCGCGGCCTGACTCAACGCCGAGGTTCGGTCAGTTGAGGCCGCGCCGCGGCCCCCTTCTTCCTTCTCCCTCCATTCAGAACCAACAGGTGGCATTTTCCACTCCCTCTCTCTTCCCACGAACACTAAATCCTAAATCCAGCTCTTGGGAGGCCAGATCGAGGGTTTTGACGTTTTGCCAAGGTACTCCTCTTTTCCCTCTTTCATTTTATCCATTTAGATTCGGTTGTTTGTGTTTCTTTTTAACTTGGCATTATAGGTTTGGTTCATGTTCATGTCATTCGTGCAATGTATGGTGGTTCAAATGATTGAATGATCCAAATGTATGGTTGTTGTTGTTGTATATGTTCTGATTTATAATCATTGAGTTAAATTTTGTGTTTGTTGGGATTCAAATTTGCTTAGGATTTGTAATGAAAAGCTTATTTGGGAGGTATGGTGATTTAGTGTTAGTAGCTTTATATTCGTTGCAAGGTTCTTTGGATTGATTTTTTTTCTACGTAATGTTAGGATGCCAAGGCGTGGTAAAGCTCGTATTCCAACGTAATCTCAATGTTTATTCATTATTTGTGCAACAAATAGAAAATCCTAGGTTTAGGTTTGGTTCTCCGTTAATATGACTAAATTCTTTCAATTGTAGCTATGGTCGTCAGAGGGCAAATCCCTACGATCTAAAGCCTCTCTCTGAAGGTGTTCCTCGACCCATGTGCTTTTGTGGTGATCCTTGCAAGGTAGACATCTCTGAAGATGATGAAACATATAGACAGAGGTACTGAATGTGTCCCAATTATGCATGGGAACCTACAAAGTAACAGCGCCGTGCATCGATTGTGAGGAATTTTTATTGTGTGTTAATTAATTTTCTTGTGATATTAAGTATTGCTTATTTATTTGTTTTGTAACAATTTGTTTTTCTTGTAGACCGTTCCACCACTGTGTGACTTTGAGCAGTGGATTGACACTGAGATCAAGGAGTCAGACAAGCAGCATCTAAAAGGCCTGAAGGAGTGGGATGCGGAGGTTAAGAAGAGGTTTGAGCAGAGACGCAGATAGGAGGCTATAGAAAAGGAGCATAAGCAAGAGGAGGAAAGGAGGCGTGTTGCTGCGTACATGGCGGAGAGGGAGAAGAAGCTTGAGCGTGTGCGCCGAGCGAAAGCAGCGATGGAGGAGAATCCCGATGCCCAGAGGAAGGGAAAGTGGCCTCGTTGCACTCAGTAGGTATTTAGTTTATTCATGAGCGATGTCGTGTAGCCCTAGACTTTTTTACTATGTTGTAATGCACTCTGCTTTTATTTCAGATGAACTTATTCCCTGGACTTTTTTTATTATGTTGTAATGCACTGGTCTGAGCGTCCTCTGTGGACGTCCAGAACCGGAGGGACCTTAGTTCCTTGGGGTGCATCTTCAAGCTGGGACATGCCAATCATTGGTGGATCCACGCCCCCCCCCCGTGAGACTGATTTTGGCTTGTAATTACTGTAGAAAAAACGTGATTTCACCGTTAATCTTCGATATTTGTTCTAAATCTCTATTGATTACCCCCCCCGAGATGCTCATCTTGGCTCCGCCACTGATGCCAATCTTATCATACTCATGCTCATAGTACTCTCTATATCATTCATCATCTTCTCCCTGGTGTTTTCCTTCATCATCATAAGGACCATGTCCTTGACCACCCTCTGCACTAGTTGCTTCACCATGTGAAGAAGAAGTCCCGCCAACATGTGCACCATATGAAGATGAAGTCCCTCCAACATGTGCAGTAGAAGGTCCAGCACCAAGCTGTTGTGGGACTGCCACATCCGGGGCACGTCTACATCCAAGGCGTGCAGCTACCTTTTGGAGGCGATGCATGGCACGCTGCATTTTGAAAGCACTATTAGTAAGTGGGGTTGGTCGCAAAACTATATAAAAATGTAACATCAACTGAATGACAGGAGACTACCTGAATGTGCTGTCGTAACATGGAAGCCTCATCAGGATCGCCCACAGGAATCATCAATGCCCTTCCTTGCTCGGCCACTGTCCTCATTATCTCCGTGCTCTATGCAACAAAAACAAGAATTTAAGTCTCCATCACAGTAAATACCTCAGAGATGGAAATATTTGTATCACTTACAGCTCTGGCTAACGCAGGGGCGATCTCAACTTGCCTGCCTTCTCGGGTAGCTTGGTCATATGGGTTGTTGCCCTCATCCTCGCTCGCAATGTCAGCAATGTCTTGCTCCGTCCAAGCGGGCCTCAATTGAAGCCTTGTTCGTTGACCAATTACCACTTGTCTTACTAGCCTGAGAAACCAACACCAACTATCTGTGTCCTCCTTCCGAACAATCGCAAAGGCCAATGGCACAAGCTGGTCTTCTGCATCTGTTCTAATACAAACAAGCATTGTGCCTTCAAATTTCCCTGTAAGAAATGTCCCGTCAATTGAGACGACAAGCCTGCAATGCTTGAATGCTTCGATGCTCTGCCCGAACGCCCAAAAGGCCCTTCCAAATATCTGACTACCATTCCTTATTTCACCCTCCTTTGGTAAATACTCGAAGTGTATCCCAGGATTTACAGCCCTCATTGCGTTCAACATTACAGGGAGACGCTCATAAGCTTCTTCCCAATTTCCAAATATTATTTCCAATGCACGCTGCTTTGCCCTCCATACTTTTCCATACTTGACATAGTAATTATATCGTTGGAAGATAATCTCAACCAATGCGGACACCGTAATGGTTGGCATATGTTTCACCATGGGGCATAACTGCCTTGCAATGAACCTAGAATTGAGCTGCAGATGGTTCTCTTCTGCCTCAGCAGTGGCACAAACATGTGGTTGCTTCATTGAGGTAATCTTCCATTTGCCTGCCTTCGTCTTCCTAGCACATACTCTCCAACTACACTGTTGTTCTTCACAAGCAACAGTGTACCTTTTCTCCTTGAATGAATTGATGACCATAAAAGGTCGGTTGTGTACAATGGAGTACTCTTGCAACCATGTTTTCAACTCATCCATGGTAGCAAATAATATGCCCTTCCGTATGATGAGGCAACCGCTAACATCAGGCACTGTTGTATCACTTGGCCCACCATCAGCTACTGCCCTGTGACCATAGCTAAGGTCCTCGAAATCACCAACTAGTGGATCTCTCCAAGGCAAGACCCTAGACAATATCTCTATTTCCCTAAAATTGAGACGACCAACAGGGCAATCGTCATCAGAGTCTTCGGCTATCTCCTCTACGAATGATTCATCATCTCCAGCTATCTCCATGTCAAAACGGTTCGTAGCCCTAGCATCATCAAAGTCTTCTTCACCACTAAGATCATCTTCGTCGCTAAGCTCATCCTCAATAGAAAAGTCTCCGCTAGCGTCGTCCAAACCTTCTTCTGCATCATCAATTACATAATCATCACCCTCTTCATCACTATCATGATTGCCCTCACCATCGGCAACCGCATTCTCCTCCCCATCTCCATCGCCCTCAAACCAACCTCCATCACGCTCGAGCGATCCAAACACTTCACCACCACCGTAGCCTAGTTGTGTGACAAGTATTTCTTCTTCAGACAAAGGACCATAACCTATGTGAGCGGGGGAAGATGGGCATACTTCGAAGTTATCATTTCCTAAGCCGGACTCCTTACTACTAAATCCAAAGATCGCACTTCTGAGGACAATACAACTGCTTTGTAATCATTCCATTCAGACTCGCTTGTAATTTTGAGCAACCGCTTGATCCGAAGACCCTTCGACGACTCAACATCTATGACACCTTCAAACAGAACATGCACGTCTCCTTCATTTCAGCCTAACTTAACCTTCACTCGCTCCACTAACTAGGTCAAAGATGGTGTTTTAAAAAAAATCAACAACTTCTCACACATGTCCAGAAATTCCAAACTATCATTTTTTGTCCTAACAATACGGCCTCCATGATACAACCTCATTAATTTATCCATCTACAGCCATCACACAACAAGTAGTGTCACATATCAATATATCATGCGAGTTTCAATCCAATAAGTAGAAACTAAAATATATTATTTTATCTTTTTCAACCCCAACAACATAATCATTTCTAGTCATAAAAAATTGAAATCTAATGACCAACAAATAACTAAAATACATACTAACCCTGATGACCAACAAATAACTAACCCTAATGACACCTACAATAAACAAAGAACCCTAATAACCAAAATAACTAGAAACCAAACTAACCTAATATGTTCATCACATAAAACAGTTAAACAACAATGCACTCAATCAACTTAAGCCATACATTTTACAAATGCAAATACACATATACCAAAACACCATACACCAATGATTCCATATGATTAGAGACAATGCAAGCACATCTACGCGGATAGATTGGAGGAGGGGAGGGACCATTACCTTGAGGAAGCTTCGGGAGACGAGATCCGGGCACCTAGGGTCGTATTTGGGGGTTAGGGTTTCGTGGGGGCCGTGGGAGGAGACGTTCAGGACATCCGGCGCTTTCAGAATGGAGGGAGGAAGAAGAAGGGGGCTGCGGCGCGGCTTCAAGAGTCCAGACCTCGGCGTTGAGTCGGGTCGCGCCGAGTCTGGTGGCTCGGCGTTAAGTGACCCCGCGCCGAGCTATTGGACCACGAAGTGTTGTTGGGCCGCCTGGGCCACGGGCCGGATGGTGCCAATAGCTCGGCGTGTAGTCCCACCGCGCCGAGGTTGGGCCTGTGGCGTTGGCTGACACAGCGCCGACGTGTCGGACCCCATGCGCCACCGTGTCGCCGTCGACCGGGATCGTCCGTGACATGGCAAGACCTTGGCGTCGTGTCAGTCGACGCCGACCCTCATACCTTAGCGTCATGTTCTAAGATGCCTAAAAATGATCTATTTTCAGCAAACGTTTTGACATAGGTCTTTTTATAAAAAATGTTTTTAAAAGGAACTAAAATGCAAAAAATTCACGAACCGGGCGGACGGGCAGTTTTTAAATGATGGCTGCGTCCTGCGGGGCAACGAGCTCGGCGAGTCAGCTGCCTGAGTGCTTTGGATTTGCTGTCTGGATCAGATATAGTTCATCTACTCTCTCCGTTATAAAACTTTAAATTTAACAAGATTTACTAACAACATTTGTATCTTTAAATTAAATAAAAATATATTCGGTGATTCATTTAATAACACTAATTATACACTATAAATACTAATATTTTTATACATATTTAGTTAAAGTTGAAAACATTTAACTTCTCAGAAAATAAGAATGACGTTCTTTACGAGACTTGGATTGTTCCTCAGTTGAAAAGAGATGTCTTGAGCAATCAGAGAAGCACTTTGATAAACTGATTTGATCTTTACCGACTCAATTAAGGTATTAGTGTTTGTTCTATTAGACAAAAAAGATCGCATTTTTTGCACTTCGTTCAAATAAGAGTTGTACCCGTATGGAATTATCCTCTTTCTCAGTATGATCTCTATCATCATCTCTATTCCCTTTATCAATTTGCGAGAGAGTAAATGCTAGTAGTGTCTTGTTTAGTTCTACATCCACTTTCTCTCTGATCAGTTTATAAAAATAATTTCAAGGTATTATTTTTCTACCTTGTAAATATTTATTCCTACAAATTCCTCTTTTTGTTTGCCAAAAGTATCTATTGCTATGAATATAGGATCACGGTCCTGACAACACCAAAATGATTCGTACAAGTACTGCACTCCTTGGTCTACCATTGTTTGTCTGATGCTGAAAACCTGGAAATCATGTGATATTTTATTATATACGGGCCATAAAACCTAACTAGCCCACTACTGTGCTTAGATAAAATTGTTAAATGTGTACTGGCTAGTGACATTTGTCGATGTTCAAAACGACAAGCAAAACAGAAGCGGACGAGTTTTTTTTCCCTCATCCGTTGCTGTCGTGACATTTTTTACTTTACTATTGCACTCTGCATCATTATATCTGCCTAATCTGTTGAGGCAAGCCTGGATGTCTGAACCCTTTTTCCATCATCAATAATTTTCTTGTTGCACAACTTTTTAAAATCAAAAAGTTCATCAGGATGGAATCATTTTTTTTTTAAAAAGTAAAAATATAAATTCATAGCTGAGAAGTAGGAGTAGGAGTTACAAAACATGGTGTCAGGTATCGATATTAGGGATACCCAAAGCAAGGAAGTGCTGACTTTCCCGGATGGCTCGAGACGTATTAAAAGGTCTTGCCCGACCCCAAGGCCGTGGGCTCCATCTCGCCTGACCCCTTGGGTGCGGGCTCCGTCTCGCTCGACCTCAAGGACGCGGGTTCCGTCTCGCGCCAAGGCTGCGGGCTCTGTCTCACCCGACCTCGAGGCCGCGGGCTCCGTCTCGCCCGACCCCAGGACGCGGTTTTCGTCACGCCCAAGGTCGCGGGCTCCGTCTCGCCCGACCTCGAGGACGCGGGTTCCGTCTCGTCCGACGAGGACCCATACCGCCGCCAACGACTCCAGATCCAAGCGTATCGGCCTGGGTCAAAACTCTGATGCCAGGGAAGAGACTGGCACGCCCCGATGTAACCCGTGGCCATGACGGGTCATACCTGGGGATTCACATCAAGAACAGTGTCGGGCGTGCCGGTGCTGTTCTACCTAATCCTCGTACGGACGCTGACAGGCGTGTCAGTTCACCACGACATCCGCCGGGACGGAGTGGAACGCCATGACCGGCAGATGATGCCTGCGCATGGCGCCAGTGGCGAACAGGGCCGCGACATGGAGCCGTCCCTGTTGACATCTACAGGATCGGCGGGACCCGCATGAAGAAGAAGAAGGACCCGGCAACCCTGAAAGCCTTCTTCTATCTCGTTCTTCTCCTTTTTCTCCTCTGTAACCCGCGGTTTCCCTTCGCCTATAAAAGGGGAAGTAGGGCGCCCCATGAAAGGAGGATCTGGACACAAGAGCACGACACGAGCACACGATTGAGCGGCAAGCGAGCTCTCAGCACTCGTTCACTCCTTCTACCAGAGACTTGGAATCCTCTTCTCTCTTCGCCTGTTTGTAACCCCTACTGCAAACCAAGTGTAGATAACACGAGCAGCAGCGAACTGGACGTAGGGACGTTCCGCCCGAACTAGTATAAATCCTTGTGTCCTCCGAGCACACCATCCGAGTGAGACGCGAAAATACAAATTTACTCGTCGATGGTCCGGAAACACCGACAGGAGGTTTGACTTTTTTTAGGCTGCATCAACATAATACCGCAAATTCAATGGAGTAAACAATAAGCTTACTAGTGCATACTAACCATCCTCATAATGGAATCATATTTTTTTTTAAATTAAAACATAAGTTCATAGCTGATGAGTAGGAGAGTAGGAGTTATGAATCATGCGCGGTTTGACTTTTTTTAGTCTGCATCAATATTAACTTAATACTGCAAATTCAATGGATCGAGTGAACAATAAGCTTACTAGGGCATTATATTAACCATGTTCTCTCCATGAAGCGTGCACACTAATCAACGACGGCGTTCTGTTCCTTGATCAGTACTCATAGCGAAGGCTGATTAACAAAATTGAAATGCCAAGTTGAGTGAATATGTTAATGTCTGACCGCCATAATTGGCGTTAGCATTTGAAAAGAAAATTGGTGTTATTGGTATCGTGCAAGCACTGTCAGTTTGTCACAAGCTCTACCTAACCATACCTGTATTACTTTAATCTCGGGTAATTTATGAGCGAATTGTTTTGATCCGTGAATGTCTCACTTTGATGTTTGAAGTACCTTTTTTTTTGTTTCTTTTGCAAGCAATTTAGGTCACTACAGTCGAGGATTCAAATAGTCGAGGATTCACTGTCAGTCCAGAACAACAGCTTGGGAAATCCT